ATTGGGAGCAAGTCACGCTCAGTATCGGGAATAGGTATCGGGAGCAAGTCACGGGAATAGGTATCGGGAGCAGGTCATGCTCAGTATCGGGAATAGATATCGGGAGCAGGTCACGTTTAGTATCGGGAATAGGTATCGGGAGCAGGTCACATTCGGTATCAGGAATAGGTATCGAGAACAGGTCACGCTCAGTATCAGGAGTAAATCTCGAGAGCAGGTCACGCTCAGTATCGGGAGTAGATATCAAGAGCAGGTCACCTCAGCATTTAATGCAGTATCTGGAATAGGTATCAAGAGCAGGTCACCTCATCATTTCATGCAGTATCGGGAATAGATATCGGGAGCAGGTCACGCTCAGTATCGGGAGTAAATATCAAGAGCAGGTCACACTCAGTATCATGAATAGGTATCAGGAGCAGGTCACACTCAGTATCGGGAATAGGTATCGAGAGAAGTAGATATCAAGAGCAGGTCACCTCATCATTTTATCAGTATCGGGGATTAGGTATCGGGAGCAAGTCACGCTCAGTATCGGGAATAGGTATTGGGAGCAAGTCACGCTCAGTATCGGGAATAGGTATCGGGAGCAAGTCACGGGAATAGGTATCGGGAGCAGGTCACGCTCAGTATCGGGAATAGGTATCGGGAGCAGGTCACGTTCAGTATCGGGAATAGGTATCGGGAGCAGGTCACGTTCGGTATCAGGAATAGGTATCGGGAGCAGGTCACGCTCAGTATTGCAGTATTGGGATTCATAATTTAACCTAGGTGCTGCACAAAAAATGCGCGGCAGATCCTCGATTTTGATTGGCTAAAAAAAATCAAGCCGGAATTACTCATAATTTTACTAATGAAATCGCAGCCTCCTATTAAATGAAAATTGTTTCTGGGTCAATTTTACCATAATGCGTGCCTATTTTTTAAAAATTTCTATTTTTGTAATGAAAAAATTAAAAAGTTAATTCTGGCCGGAATTTAGTAAACAATTTTGTAATGCGGACCAAAATTTCGAAGATCTTCGGCCGTTAGCCAATCAAAATCGAGGATCTGCCGCGCGTTTTTTGTGCGGCACCTAGGGTAAATGGGAATCATAGTTGGCAATTTGACAAAATTTCAAGGTTGAATGTCATAAAAATATGTCATTTTTGTCATAAAAACTATTATTTTGTTATTATTTTATAACATTTTATAAAATTTTGCAGTCATTTATTTATCATAAAAAAGTCAATTTTGTCATTTTGCCAACACTGTTGGGAATAGGTATCGGGAGCAGGTCACGCTCAGTATCGGGAGTAAATATCAAGAGCAGCATTTCATGCAGTATAATAGGCATCGGGAAGATAAATTTTAATATAAATTTTATAATAAATCATAAGAAAATACAAACTTTAAAGAGCTATACTACAAAATTTTATTAATGCAACTGCTTTTGTATTTTAAGTGAAAAATGATCCTGATTTTATTCTAAATTGATTTGTGTAAAAATTTTTTTTGAAAATTTAATCCACCATGTCTGTTTCCAATACGGTATACCCTGTCAATACCGTATATATGGTAAACAAATTTTACATCAGCTTTAAAAGGTTATCAGGTTTAAGACTATATATGGTGAATTAATTTTTCATCAATTTTGTCAGGTCATCAGTTTTAACAGGCTATCTGTATGGTAATTTTAACCTCTAAACCTGATAATCTTTTAAATCAGATGTAAAATTTGTCTACCATGCATACTGGTTTTGACAGGGTATAATGCACTATCTTTGATAATTTTTAATAGGAAAACGAATTTTCAAATAATATTTACTAACGATAAGCAGGATAGATAATTGTCATAGAAAATTTAGACAAGGATTTTTTAATCGTATTTGAAAATTTTGAAGGTTAAAAACTAAGCCATAATTTGTTGGTAAATATTTGTGGTTTTCTATGTTTTGTGCTTAACAATTTTTTAGTCCCTGATCTGTATAACTTTTGTATGAAGAAGGCATGGACAACTGCGTTAAATTTTAGCCTCAACTATTATTAGTTAAATATTAGAATATTTTGACCACAGGTAGGGTGGAACCAGTGTTAGATATCTAATGTTCTCAGTGTTCTCAAGAACATTTAAAAAATTTTGAAAATATTGTATTTAAAAATTATGTTCTCTTTTGTGAACCAACCAAGAACATAAAATTTATAATTTATGTTCTCATGTGATATATAAAAAATATATAATTTTTCTCTTTTTTTTTTTTTATTTTTATTTAATTATTTATTAAGAACACTAAAATATTTATGAGAACATAAAATTATCAATTTATGTTCTCAAATTACAAAAAAAAAAATTTAGCTCTGATAATGTAGTGCTATGAATCCTCGCGATATGTGCTTCTAAATATTTAAAATGACTACCACATACTGGGCATTTAGGATTCTCACTCGATTTACCTCTATTTATTGAAGGCATTCGTTTTGATAAAGTAATATTAATTTACATAATATTATTATATGAGAACCCGTTTAAAAAAGTGGATGGGACTATATTGTCTTACCCCTTAGAGGTTCCAATATATAAGAAAATTATTATTACACTGATACGAATTTATTATATCATGTGGCTTTATACTTTAAAATCGTCTTCCTCTATATCGCCAAATTCCATCTGCACGTGACCAAGAACAAAATTCGCTAAGCTTTTTTATGTTAAGTTAGGGTTAGGTGAGCACCTATGTTAGGGTTGGAGTGTTTTTATTGTAAAATTGCTCGCAGGTGATTTGATATGCCCATTTTATGAGAACGTTTATTTTGAATTTTCCTAATCGTGTAATGTTATGCCTGATCGTGATGTGTAATATTTCAAAATTTTATTATGTTAATTAAACTTCATTATTAATTAAAAAATATTCAGCATACTAGCTTCTGTTATTTT